ACACACACACACACACACACACACACACACGGAATATCAGGTTGCCTGCCTTCAGACTATGCAGCAATCCTCCAGTAGTCGTTGGTTATAAAACAGATCTTTATTTGTTTCAGTCCATGGCTTACAATGCAGAAAACTGAAAGACATGGTCTTTGCAACGGAACTTAACCATAAACTAAGGCTTTTTTTTTCTTCATTCATTAATGGGATGAGGGGGTCTCTGGCTAGGCCAGCATTTATTGCCCAGAGGGCAGTTATGAGTCAACCACATTGCTGTGGATCTGGAGTCACATCTAGGCCAGACCAGGTAAGGTTGGCAGTTTCCTTCCCTAAAGGACATTAGTGAACCAGATGGGTTTTTCCCGACAATCAGCAATGGATTCATGGTCATCATTAGACTCTTAATTCCAAATATTTATTGAATTCAAATTCCACTATCTGCTGTGGTGGAATTCGAACCCAGGTCTCCAGAACAGCCCTTGGGTCTCTGGATTAACAGTCCAGCAATAATATCACCAGGCCTTTGCCTCCCCTAACTCAAATGACAAAATCATGTGCTTTAGCTTTGTCATTAGTGTTGCTGTTGATAAGTGGTCCTTATTCCTTAACTCATTTGATCTTTGCTTTTCTGTTGTAGCTACACGGAAGTGGCCAACAATGTCCAGAAGGAGGAGACCATTGTGCAGATTCAATTTGTCCTTCTCGATTGTTCTCCGTTAAAATTCTCCCTTGTTCAGCACTGCAACGAGTGGCAAAATAAATTCACCACGCTGCTGAGTGAGATGGCAAGCCACATGCTGCTGGACTTCTGTCAATTCCTTGAAGAAAATGGCAACAAGTGGGTTTGAGCGCATATTATTGCAGTCTGACTATGCTAGCCCTGTTTGTACCTGTTTCCAGTTTCCTGCTGATAATCTGGCTGTCCTTTCTCCATCATAATTGATTAATCACAAATGGTCTGGGATGTGTTCTCCTTTTAAAATATGACTTTCTGCTGTCCTGCAGGGCAGGACTTATACACTTAAGGCTAAGATCCTGTGTGTGTTGCTGAACAAAGAGACCTTGGAATGCAGGTTCATAATTCCTTGTAAGTGGAGTCGCAGGTAGACAGGATAGTGAAGAAGGCATTTGGTGTGCTTACCTGTATTGAGTATAGGAGTCGGGAGGTCACGATGAGGCTGTACACCTTGATGAGGCCACTTTTTGGAATACTGCATGCGATTCTGGTCTCCCTGCTATAGGAAGAATGTTGTGAAACTTGAAAGGATTCAGAAAAGATTTACAAAGATGTTGCTAGGGTTGGAGGATTTGAGCTATAGGGAGAGGTTGAGTAGGCTGGGGCTATTTTCCCAGGAGCGTCGGAGGGTGAGGGGTGACCTTATTGAGGTTTATAAAATCATGAGGGGCATAGATAGGGTGAATAGCCAAGGTCTTTTCCCTGGGCGGGAGAGTTCAAAACTAGAGGGAATAGATTTAAGGTGAGATGGGAAAGATTTAAAAGGGGCCTAAAGTGCAACTTTTTCACGCAGAGGGTGGTGCATGTATGGAATGAGCTGCAGAGGAAGTGGTGGAGGCTGGTACAATTTCAGTACTTAAAAGGCATCTGGATAGGTACATGAATAAAAAGGGTTTAGAGGGATATGAGCCAAATGCTGGCAAATGGGACGAGATTATTTAGGATCTCTGGTCAGCACGGACAAGTTGGACTGAAGGGTCACTCAATCCTGGGTGCTATTGCAAAAGAGAGACTTACATGTCTGTACCACCTTTAACTTAAGGTGCCCCAAATGCTTTATAGCCAACGAATGAACTTGAGCAACTGTAAATGGCAGGAAACCACAGCTACGGATAATCACTATCATTGAAAGTGTCAACTTCATTGTCACCTGGCTCTTTGCCAATCGCAAAGGAAATTCTTTTGAGGAATGCTATGCAAACAGCTCAGCAAATATTTCATGATTGGCGAGGGTCCACCATTGAGCAGGGACTGTATGTTTAAAACATTGAGTCAGTCTCTTCACTGTTGATGAGTGAGAATGATCATAGAACCACAGAAGGAATTGTAGTAATGAAGGCCAATCATATTGGTGCTAGGCAAAGAAGCTAGGTGTCAGGTGAAAGAGCTATCCAGTTTAAATTTGCCTTTCCAGCTCTTCGTCTGTAACCCACTAGTTTTCAACAACTTGAGTGCCTATCCCACTGCATTTTAAATGTTACAGGATTTCTGACTTCTCACTTCACTTCACTTCAGCCATCCCTATTCTAAAGAAAATAAGCCCAGACCAGCCAACTCTCTTCATTGCTAAAGATCTCCATTCCTGGCAATATCCTCAGGATTCTTCTCCCTTGAGTCTCTAGTGTGATCATATCTTTTATTTTACACTGTCCTTACTTGTACTGTTCTCTGTCTTGCACTAAACATTTAGAGTAAGCCATATTCCTCAGAACTTGGAAGAACTGACCGCTGGGATCCAGCACCTGGAGCATCTTCAGAACGAACTCCCAAAGACAGAGGCACGCATCAATCCCATCCATGAACAGTTTAACATCCTGGAGAAATATGAGTTCCAAATTGAAGAAAGTGTAAGTGTGGAGCTGGTGTTGCAAGGCAAGCGCTGGGTTGAGCTGTCCGACACTTTGACATCGTCCTGTTTCTCACTCCCTCCCTCTCTCATCCTTCTCCTGCAGGTCCAGCAGAGGCTGGAGTCAGTGAATGGTGAATGGCTCAACTACCAACAGGTGATCAATGACAGTGAGGCTATGCTGAAGAGGCAAAAGGAAAAGTTCAGAAGTGGCCTCATCCACTCTGCAGAAGACTTGAAGAAGAAGACTCATAATGCCATTGAAGATTTTAACATGAGAGGTAGACACCCCACGCCACTCACCCTGATTCCAGCATTTCAGTACAATTTTCATCCAGACCCACAGTTAAAGGGAGAGCTGTATTGCAATACTGCGTTCTATGACCAATAGACCAACCAATATTTATTTCTGTCTCTGAACCAATGTCGCAAATAACAATTATCTGGTTATTATTACATTGCTGCATGTGGGACCTTACTCTGCGCAACTGTCTCCTGCATTACTACATTACAACAGTAACAATATTTCAGAAGTACTTAATCGGCTGTTAACTGCCTTAAGACATGCAGTGAGTTCTTTTCCTTCCATTGTCTGACACAGCAGCACTGCCCCTCCGACAGTGCGGCGCTCCCTCAGCACTGACCCTCTGACAGTGCGGCGCTCCCTCGGCACTGACCCTCCGACAGTGCGGCGCT